AAAGCTAAAGAGAGAGAGAAAGCTAAAGAGAGAGAGAAAGCTAAAGAGAGAGAGAAAGCTAAAGAGAGGGAGAAAGCTAAAGAGAGGGAGAAAACTTGAGAGAGTGAGCTAAAAAGAACGAGAGAGAGAGAGAGATCTAGAGAGAAACAGAGCTAGAAAAAGAGAGAGGGAGAGAGCTAGAGCGAGAGGGGTGGAGGAAATGTGTAGACAGTGTTAATGATTTCCCCAGTACACTATAATGGGAATTTCCATTGATTGTTCCTGAATTAGCTTCCACGTCTAACTGGAGCTGAAATAAATTCTGTTGGTGTTCGCAGGAAGCTGCGCTGCCCTCGGAATGTGCTGCACATGCACCTGTTTGCGTCGTTCATCATGCGCGCCTTCATGTCGCTGCTCAAGGACTCCGTCTTCGTGCTGGGGCTGGCGACTGAAACGGACATAATGAAAAAAGGCGAAGACATTTACTTCAACAGCGAGCAGGAAGTACGTTACGGCCTCCCATGAGTATGTGAAATAACCTATTTATTGACGACTATTATTATAGTAGAAACACAAAAGTAGTTTTTTAATAATTATTTAAATAGGTTCCTTCTCAGTAGTATTGTGTACTAAATTATCAAATTTCGGAAACAAGTATTTCACTGTAGCTTCTGGGTTAATGACCTCATATCGATTATGTTTTTTCCACTTTTCTTACATCCGTTGAGCAAACATTCAGACGCCATATGTTTGTTCCTCTGGTCATAAATTTACTTTCAATATCTTTGGACGTTTTGACGTTTTGCAGTGCTTTCTTTTGATAGTTATGGCAGGTGTAGATGAGAAGTGGTGTGGTATTTTGTCAAAAACTCTGTAAAATCAAATCTATAGTTCGTTTGTTTGTTGAAATGCGTTTACTATTTCTCGGGAATAAAACTTCGTACTTTTTAAATGAAGCCAACAGCATTCGTTTGTCGTACTTTTCTTCATAGCTCAACTATGTGTAGAAATGAAAAGAGTACGGATTCAGGAGCTTACAAAAATGATTGTTGCTTTTCAACACGTCACGTACAATTTTTATTGTTTTTAGAATAAATAAAATTTAAAGTAATTTAGAGAGGAGCCCGAGTACAAAATAATTTTGGCATAATAAACGAATAGGACTCATTGGTAGAAAAAGTGTGTTTATTGAAATCGGCATGCTTGTTTAATTTTCATCTACTTAGCTCAATGTAGTATGAATTGCTACTTTGAATTCAACTTTGGTAAGTTAAATTGATGTTGGTAAATCCCAATGAAAAATATTGAATGTATTTTTACGCAGTGAAGTATCCACAAGTGGCAATAAACGATATAAACAGTGGAATAATACACAAATGATTATTAAAAAGTAAAGTACCAAGAGATCTCAGGAACACAATTATTTTGCAGACTCCTACACTGATGTTTATCAGAACAGTACTAACAATTTATTTCTCAAAATATGTACGCTGACACTGCCTGTTTAAAGATATTCCCCCCGGTAGATCAAAAAACAGATGGTAGAAATTGGGTTTAAGATCTTGGATACATTGCAAATTTCTCATATATAGTATATCTCAGTTAATATTCAGTTAATCTCACGTATTTATTTTATTTATCAACAATGTAAAATATAATGTTATGTAAGAAATTAGATGAGATGTTAGGATATCTTGAATTTTCCGATATATAAATTAACTATTTTTGCAATTATTATGTAATTTTAATAAATGTGGTCTTGCAGCAGGTAACCTTATTAATATTTGTTTAACGCCTTGAAATAAAGGTTTATAAAGGGAATGTAAATATTTTATTCCTTGGCCTTTTGTACGACATATAAATTGATCTTCGCTTTCTATTTCAGAGAAATTGGTCATGCAGATTGATAGTATCTGTATGGAATTACTTCATCATGGCGAACTATTCTTGGATTCTAATGGAAGGGCTGTACCTACACAATCTCATCTTCCTTGCGCTCTTCACTGACTCTAGCTCCATTACGCTTTACATCGCCCTCGGATGGGGTAGGTAACAAGATTACTATGTATGTAGAAGCATATTTTAGATAAGAATAATTCAGTCTTTTTACTAAACTGCAGCCCACCCTCCCCAACTATCAATTCAACATGGCCTCTCTAGTTAACATGGCCTCTCAAGTTAACATGTGCTTAACTATTTTTAACCGAGACTATATTGGGCTTCGAAAAGAAAAATCAAATTTGTTTAACAATGATATTTAATGTTTTAACAGTGATATTTCGTGTATTAGTTACTATTTATACTCATTACTCTAAAATACAAAAATTGAGTCATATTTAACAAGTATTGAACCTTAGTTTCAGGGTCAATGACCCCCATCTCAATATCATTTTTCACTTGGTGTCACTAATTCTTTCAGCAAAAGCCTTGATTTGCTTCTGAATATAAGTGTAGCTTCATTATTGTGCACTTTTCTTGTGCTCTTTAAGGAATCTAGATATTCAAATAATAGTTTTCCATTTTAACGCAGCAATAAGATAAATCCTTCACGTAAAGCACTAGATCTTATCACTAAAATTTGTGCCTGATTTTCCTTTACAAATAGTTTGTATTACACAAGAGCAAATATTTTCATATCAGTTCTTGACAAAAAAGCTCATTTCCATCTGGTTCCAGAATTCAACTTCATAGGTTAATTAGTGTTGTGTTAGGATATACATTCCAGAGCTTAAGAAACAGAGTACATATTGTAATTCTCAAAGTTCGTCACACATTTTTTAACTGTTTTTTATGTAAAATAAATATAAATAATGTTTTGAAATGAGCATTAAATTACCACAGTAAACGATGTGAACGCTTCACAATCGCCAAAAAAACTAAACTGAATTCATTCATTATAAAATTCTAGACCGTTGTGTTCGATTTTTTTAGGTTAGTACTGAAAGTTTGCGTCGTCGAGGTCAGCAAATTGAATTTATATCAATGTTAATTAGTGTGATATTTGAGCCCAATGATTTAGTATGATTTTATCCTTCATTTTTACTTTCTTCTCTATTATTATGTACTGTAGAGAAAGCTAAGTAATGCTGAAGCGAAAAAAGAAATTTTTTGTGCCAAAAATTATTTTCGTTGTGCCTCGTACCAAAAAAAAGGATAATTTTTGTTACTATTGTGTAGTAAATTCCTTCATCTAATACATTGGGAACTCACAATTCACATTTTGTGCGTTCTTGATTCCGAAAAATTGGTTTATATCAAAACGTTTGTCTGTCCGTGCGTGTGTGAACAACGTTAACACCTAAACCGTTCACAGGATTCTCGCCAAACTTACTTAGCATTCCTCAATCTATCTGGCTGATTTTCCCCTGGTTTTGAAACGTATATTTTTATGTTGGGTGTTCTTTACATAAAACCTCAACATTATCAAAACTATCTTAAAAGTGGCTCCAATTTTTTCATTTTGTTCTCGAATAGAATGAAGTACGCTTGTAAAAATTGTAGAGGTCCGATTTTTGTCTAAAACTCTCAACTTCCAAAAACTGCAAAAGTTTCAAACTTTCAAACTATGAATTAATTTAATTTTTTAATAAATGGTAAAAGATTAAAAAATAGCATTTATTTTATTTTATTGTTTTGAAATTCTGTCGCAATGTCATTCTAAAGTTAAGTACCTTTTAAAGCAAACAATTATAGTGCCTATAATTGTTTTGCTTTGAAAATATGACAAATATTGGGAGGATTTTAGCCGCGGAACCTAGCTGTTCACTTCAGTTTTCACTGATGCTTTCGAAACCATTACCGCTGGAGTACGTACGCTATTGATTAGTGCACCGGATCTATTGTGAAATTACTTACAATCGGTGGTAAAATTACAAACCTCATGGATGTATCTGCTGCAATGTAGTATATTGTTTTGCTGAATGAATAACTACGAGTTGTAATATCGGCACAGGAACTGCATATTCTGCGCCTCGTTATCTCAAGTTCTTCACTTTCACTAGTGCGATGGCCTACCGCACGGAGCGCTCCGAGTTCTGAGCACAGACTGATAGACCACACTTTCTTCTAAGGCCACAAAACTGACACTCGAATCGTATTTCGTTCATTTTAATCGGCGGTAACATTCATAGCTGTTACTTCAGCATGGATACAATTAGCCCACCATACTAAAAAAATTATTTATATTTAATGGATGAGATATGGGTCAGAACTTCATTACATAAGCCGTATTCAAATAGATTGTTAGAATTAAATTAAATATTAATAAAAAGTTGGATTTTCATTATCAGAATGTGAGTTGTGTTTAAACACGTGGCATGTAAATCCGGCCAATTACATGAATTTGGAAACTGTCTATTAAATTCTGTAAAAAATATAAGGAAATATACTTCAAAATTATCTGAAAAGTAGACATTAATATTTTTTTAATAAAATACATTTTTCACACTTTTATTATACATATGTTTCATTCACTGCAGGTCTTCCCCTTATATTCATGTTACCGTGGACCATATGCAGAGCTTACTTGGAGAACGATTTGTGCTGGACCATCAACAAGAACACAATTATATTTCTTCTCATTCAAGGTCCTTTAACAGCCATTGTTGTGGTATGTATTGCACAATTGAATAATTCAGCATTGCTTACAATATAAAACTAATTTCAGTTACATTCTTAAGGTGCAATCTACTTGTCAAGTTTGATGATTCAAGTTCTTCGATGATGTATATTACAACAGATTATGCTGTATCAAAGTACCTGAATCATTTATCTCGAACCAAATTTGAAATATGTTGCTACATATATTCATTCCGATGTTTGTTTGAGGAAATACCCATATATTAGTGGAATACTTTTCAACTCATATAAACGAACCAAAATAATCACTAAATCCACAAAATATTGATGTAAATGCAATTGCTTTAATAGTATAATATTTTTATGTATGGCATCTTTAAAATTTTGTATTGTTAGAATCAGTTGATGTTAATAAAATTGTTGCTAAATATCTGAGGTATATAACAGTAATTATATTTTTACAGGTGAATTTTTTTATCTTCATCAATATTGCAAAAGTTTTATTTCGTAAGTTGCAATCTTCTGTCTGCGAAGAAACAAAAACGTACAGGTAAGTAAACAATATTTTTAATTACTTCTTGCAAATACACAAAATATCTCGTAATTGTTTTTGTTTTCTAATAATATTTGGGTCATTGTAATGTATTTTGATAGAGAACATGTTCATCGATGATTTTTTAAATCAGATCTTGTTTTTGAAGCGAGGAACTAGGAATGACAAACTGAATTATCGATATTAATTACAGGAAAACTCTTAGAAAAAAGATTGCTAAGTAAATCTCGCACCTCAGGGTGTCAATTGTACAGTGCACAACCCTCATCACAATGTTACAAGTCTTTATTCGGCATTTAATTCTGAGTAATATTTTTTTAGCATAGTCATAAGTCATTAAACTGTCGTAACACTTCTTGTACGTGGTCATTTTGTTATAAAGTCATTGCCTTTTACACTAGCGACCAGGCGGCTTGTCGTCGTTAAAAGTCCAGGGTTCTCAGTCGGTCACCCTCCACGGAGCACGTGTCTCGAGCTGCTTAATCTGCGCGACTTCACGAGGCGCAGTTAAGCAGTTCGGCCACTGATGCCGCCTGCTTTACGACCTCGACCAAGCCCTCTCAAAACAAATGCCCTAAAGCAGAGAGAAGCTTTACGGTGGTGTCAAACTTCTGTGCCATGCGTCAAGGTTGCAGCGACGATTGATCACACAGCCAGAATCAAAAAGGAAATGTGTTACGTATGTTATACGTAGCATGCCTTTTCTCTTTAAAAACATTTTGATGCAAATCTTTATATTTAAAACACAAACGCTTTTCGTTTATAAAGAAATTTCAACCTCTTTCTTAACCAAATTTTATGCTTTTTGCTTTAGAAGTAATGCAATGGGCCATGGGGGAAAGGGACACGTTTTCTCTTGCAATTATTAACTAGTCTTACAAATACTCAATTATAAAATCTTAAAATTAATAGATTGAACTTTTTACAATCTCAATGGAAAGGAGACCCATAAATAATTTACAGACTGACAATTGACATAAACAATTCTTTATTTCATGAGTCTCGTCTTGTTATTCGCAACAGTTTCGGGAATATATTGTCCCCATCATCAGACTAAAAGTTAAGAATAAAATTACATTAAAACAGAAAAATTAAAAATATTAGACGTAAAAATTATTAACAAAAATAAATATCAAAATAAATAGTAATAAAATGATTATGTACAAGTCAGCACTTACCAAACACGGGAGAGCTCATAGTATGAAAGTAAAGTCATGCACAAGCTGGGATGGCTGAAATACGGCAAAGCTCTGCTACTGTCTAGTTTATCTTGCAAACATAATGCACCACTTATAACTACTGAAATGTTTTTGCCGAAGAACACGTGTCAGACGCTTGATAAACATTGAAGAACGTACATTCACAAACCTTTGTATATGAAAACACTCTCCCAAAATAAGGAAACTCACTGTATTGGCTTCTCTAACAAGGACCTTACACCAGTGTATGCTAGCACTAACAGGCCTTAATCCTGGCGTGTGTGCAAAGTTACAGCTGAACCCTTACGGCCTCATTTTACCATTGATATTCAAGATCGTACCGTTGATGGAATTCCAATACTTTTATCTATACCACAGTCGAGGGAGATAAAGTAATGATATTCGGTGTCGAGAAGTGACAATCGCGTTCTCTCCGGAGTACGTCGCGAGGAGAAACTGCAGCGAGCGTCGGTTACCTTCAACTTGGTTTCACTTCCTCGGTACGGAGTAGAGAGATAGTTATGTAATGCTGTTTGAAAAAAACGGCGAATTTTGGGCAGAAAAACCCTTATTAGAGTGTTTTGGTTACGAAAATGTAGTTAACTCCAGTTGATAAATTAGGAAAAAAGTCCTCTATAACGTGGTGTAGCCAGATTCCGTTTTGTGGGTCCTTCATTCCAAACGATCGAATGACTGCAAAACGTCCGTCTGTGAACAACTAGCAATAAAACAGTTTAAGTGATTTTCTACAAAACTGATTGTTCCTAATCGAACTGTATGATGTGGCGTTCCATTGAATTTAACCCGTAACTGGTCATGAGGAGACTACTTATACCCAACACAAAAACGTGCTAAAAAACGTTGAAAGAAAAAAGTCTGTTTTGGTGACGTAAACAAGGAATTTTATGCATTATCATTAGGATTAATCCAAAAATAATTAAACAAGTACCACAGATATATACAAAATTTAAAAGAAGTATTTTAATGTCCACATGAGTCACAAAAAAAGCACTCTTCTAACTATATTTTGAATCAATACGCAGACTAGTTATAAAACTATCTTTTGAGGGCCAAAATCTGACAGAACCAACTTTTCATATCTTATAACTAATACAACACAGCCTCCATGTTAAGTCACTTTTCACAGTCCCTCATTCATTGAAGTTTCCGCAAATAACAAATCGCTCATTGAGTGCAGAGAAGCACCTTGCAGTGAGCACAGGTAACTTTTGTTTTGCAGTCACTTCACCTTTAATACATTACACATCTCACTAACTTTCCTACATAATTTTGGTGTTGAGCAAGAAGTGCAGGTTCTTTCAAGAATCGGGATAAGGTCAGCCGCAGCTCACGGACATTGTGTATTCTGGTGCGTGATGCTGGCTATACCAGTACCGTCAGCTCCCCACGCCCTCCCTCTTCACTGGTGAATTCGCTCTATTCCGCTTCTAAATTGATCTTGACCCATTCCTCATATCTTGGATTATCTCCCCTAATAATTATTCCTCGGAGCATCCGTAGTTTTGTGATATATAAAACACGGGATAAAAATAACGTAATCGGTGACGCGCAGATTGATTATGCCTCAAATAATAAAATTACAAGTTTCTGCTCACCCTCACTAATGTGACCACCGCCAGGTTCACAGAACGACTGACTTCCTGAGAGGTACCCAGAAGCTTGGGCTCCGTTTCGCCTCAGCTGCGCGCAGGTTTGTTATCTGGCTGTGGTACTAACAGCCATCACCAGTTACGGATTAAAACCGATATTTTAATTTTGGGGAGGTACTTCACATGAAGCCGTAGAGACATTTTTCAAATTTTCAAAATAATGCCTCCATCGTTTTTGATTAAATTTTGTTGTTGTGTAGTGTGAAGGACGTTTAAGAGAATGGTTCAAATCTCATGTCCGTTAAAAACTGATTTTTCTAAAAATTGCAAAAGCTGAAAATTTTTTCAAAGACTTCCTACAAATAAAACATTAAATATAGAGATTTTTTCCGTTGATGAAACATATTCCTTAATGATAGATTTTGAAACAAGGTCATGTACAATTTTCCAAAAATTTGTGTACTTTTGCGTAATTTTGCGTGAAGTTGCGGGCGAGAAAGTACTTGCTTTTTTAGCACCAGTAGTTCGTAATGCGAAGTCACATCCATCTATTGCTCTGCACTGGCGGAAATTCACCTGCGTTTGCCCTCCTCGTAGGCGCTGGGCCAAGTCGACGCTGGTGCTGATTCCTCTCTTCGGAGTGCACTACATGATTCTTCAAGCTCTCCAGTACAGCAAAAGAAGCACGGTTGAGTTGATTTGGCTCTTCTGTGACAGAATATTCACATGTTTCAATGTAAGTATTTCCAAACAAAACAGCATGTTATTATCAGAATTCTTTTTAGTGCCGGATACGAGTTTCTGCAAAATTTGAATTACATGTAAAATCATGTAATGTAAGTTCATAACAAAATAACACATTAATCGATTATTAAATACTTGGACCGCGCTGTTGTACAACACTGCTGATTAAAATTACTATGTTGCCAGTACAACACGTTGACTGCCACATCCTGGCAACGCAGCATCACGATTTTTTAAATAATTTTATTTCGAAATTTGTTCTATTTGAAACATTCAATGGAATTTTTAACATATGATTATAAATAATAACATATATGAAAGACATGGGGTAGGAATGAATTCTCCTAAATTCAAACATTAATTTGATCGATAATTTAAAACAGTTTTATGTGTCTAATACTAATATATATTTGTGTGTGTGTTATATTGGCCACATCGGAATTCAAGCTGTTGTCTTGTGGCAGTGAACGTGAAATGAGATATAACTGATGTATTCTGACTAGTTATTCCACTTTCCAGGGTTTCTTTGTCGCTCTTCTGTACTGCTTCCTGAACGGGGAAGTGAAAAACGAGTTGGCGAAGAAGTGGGAGCATTTCTCTCTGCGAGAGCTGCTCAAGAGGTGGCATTTGGCTGGACGGGGCAGTATTTTCTCTTCCATGCGGTTCGCGCGAAACGGCCGGCATCGTCGGCCCCACGGGTCTGGCTGCTCCAGCGCGTCCTGCACGGCGGACTCGTACGTCCACAGCTGCCGGGACAAGAAGAGGACTCTCGCAGTCCACACTGCGCATGCGCCGTGCAAGCGCGTCGCTCGCGAGGAGGCGTTTTTGATTGAACACAAAGACGGCTCTCGGGTTGGAGGCGATTCCTCCGAGGTAAGATTGATGCCTTTCTTTCATTAGAATAATACAGTTCGTCTATATGGGTCCCTTGATATTAGTACTATTTCTACATCATTACAAATCACTAAAAGAACTTACGTAAACAAAATATCCTCGCGTCTAAATATAATTAAACACTTTGGTTTTCATTAGATTGTAAATGGTGCCTAGCTAGTCAACAAATAGTAATGATCAAATTTTTATGCATTCATTATTTTATTTATTAACAATGGTTGTTTCAAATAGGTGAACATTTAAAAAATCTTCTAATCTGTTTAAAACTATCTCAGGTGTTTGTAAGCAATGCTCTTCAAATTTACTTCATTTCTCATTTATTAATAAAATAAATTATACAAAATATGACACAATTGAAAATCTTGAAATTGCAGTTTCAATTTTCTACATTAAGTATCACTTAAGTTACAGAGATTTGAAAATGCAGCAAGTATTCTTTGATAGGTTTTATATATTCATTTTTAAATGACTTACTTACACATAGTTTCAGAAAACTTACTTACACAACATGTTTCTTCTAGTTTCAGAAAATTAAAATTGATTATATATTAATATTATTATAAAATTATATAAAACATACAAATTAAAATAATTCCAATATAATGTTCTTTTATAATTTATAGGCATTTTCATGAAACTTTTTAATTAAAATGCACCCATTTTTTTAAAATGATTTTAAAAAACATTTGTTAATCTGTTTTAATGATTTAAATAAAGGAAATAATAAATACATAACTTCTCTAAAGATTACTTTAACAAGGAACTAAAAATTTAAATTAACGCTGAATTGAATTGCATTGTTATTCCAAGAAATTGAAAGGAGATGTTGCACAGCAGAATGTGGTGCATACATAATAATATAATGCATAATATTGTATGAGTAAAACACTCTTGTTACAATATAGTAAGCCACAATGATGGGATGATACACTCCAAACTTTTGGAAAACTAAGTTAAATTTTATTTACTTGATGAGTATTCCACAAGTAGTATAATAATGATATGCTATTTATTCAGGAGTCATAATATCACATCTTATCTCTTCTGTGTTTATCCACTTCTGTAATCATTTAAGTCAGCACTATTTCATTCAGAAAAATAGCTGTCATTGACTTATAAATTCATCACTGTGAAATTAGCCTGATGACTCATTAAATTATTTTAATTAAGGTTCTTTTTATTAAATGCTCTTTTTCTTCTGCAACTTACTTGGCTTTCCTTTATCTGAATGATACAGTTGCCTCTAAGTAGTAAGTTTAAAAAGCTTTGTTTCTTTGTTGTTTTTCAGTTCAAAAATGGACTTTCAAGAACCCAAAGAGGCAAGCGATGGTCAACATCTGACTATGACTCACAAAAGAATGTCATTGAATTAAAAAGAATGATTTCTTTAGATAACATAGCAAATGTGTGAACCAAACTTCAGAAAACAAATTATATGTGATTTTTTAAAACAGGGTACTTACATATAGTGTTAATGAAGTGAAAAAAACTGTGTTCTTGTTTATTTGTAAAACATTTCAGTGATTTTTAGAACAGAAATTGAAATGGAGAATTGCATTGAGTGTCTTGATGCCAATGTGAAGAAAGTGTTTATTTTAGATTATGTGCCAATTTTCTTATTGAATGTTGATGAAGAATAACTAGGTATCAACTTTATATGAATGAAATGACTTTCCAAGAAAGCTTCCAAAATATGGAAGACTGTGGTGCTAAATGATTGATCTATATAAGTGCTTCTGTGATATTCGTCCAGTATTTATTACTTCTTATGTAATGTACAAATTGCTTCTTAATTTAGCAGATAAATACTAACGTAGAATTAATTACATCTCTCTTCACAATGTAGAATGCAATATGATTTGCTCAAACAAGTCCAAAGAATATGCAGGAACATTCCTGCAAAAATTTTAAACTCTTGTGACCATGACATGATATTATTCACAATTTTTTGTAAATGATGTTAAAGTACCAATATTTCTACTGAGAAATAATTTGTTGTATTAAAATTTTAAAATGAATTGTTTATTTTATATTTTATATAATTTTTTTAATGTTTATTAATTCTCTTTTGAAGAAATTGGTAATTGTTTTTTATAGTGTAAAAGTTTTGCCATAAAGTTCTGCAAATGAATTTTTATATGATTTTACTTTACAGATTCTTGTTTCATTTTATGCATTTATTTTTCCACTACAATACAATGTCACTTACTCTGAACTAAGAGTAGTAAATTTCATTGCAGAGATAAACAGTAATGAAATTTAGAGCAAACTATTTGAATCTGTATCTTGAAATGTTTTGTATGTGACCAAAGGAAAAGGTTTTGGCATATTCTCATCAAAGGTATATAGTTAAAAATTAGATTCCTGTGCTCATTACTTATCCTTTATTTGTTTTTCAGAAAACAATTATTTTCTACAGGTCCTTGCCTTGGATAGTTTGTAGTGAAATCAAAAACAATTTAAAAATATTTAACAAAGTTTACTAACTGTTCTCAGGCTTTGTCTTAAGGAATAAAGCTGTCAACTTATTCAGAAGACTATTAACTTTATGAAAAATGAATGAAACTCTCATTTGCCATAGAGATACTAATTTTCAAAATTCATATGAGATTTTATTCTGAATTCAAACAATCTGAATTTTCTCCGAGGTCTACAATCTTGAGGGATCTATTTCCCTCCCTCTGTTCTATCTGCAAGAAGGTGTGGGAGGAATAATCAAGAAAATTCTGCATCTTTACATTTTTTCGTTACTTACAAATGAAAGTGAGTCGTTAGGTAAATATGACGGACTTTGTTTTGGGATTAATTGAGTTAAATTTAAGTGACTTGAGTCAGTTGTCAGGCGGCCCGCCAGGCAGCATCTCCGCGTCTTCCTCCGCGCCTCCCACTACGCGCCCCTGCGACACTACCCAGCGGCCAGGATTGGGAAGGAAGTAGGATTGGGGTAGGGGTTAGGGCACTTGGGGTTGGACTAGCCCTTGTGAAGCAGCCAAACTGACTTTGTTGGAACAAATTTCACGCGACATTCGGGGGAATAAATTTCGAACCCGGACCTCCTTGGTACACGTAAAGGCGAGCGACTTCGCTCTGAGCCATCAGATATGTCCATTCATGCAATCAATGAGACACAGCCCTTTACATCCAAAAATCTTGTAATCTAATTTAGATGTCTGATAAGAAAGCACTGGATATTGAAAAGAAAATGCATCGGATATTGAAGTAAAGAAATATAAATGTTATTATTTTCTGACTTTGCTTGAAAGGAGAAATCTTACAAAGAAAAGCAATATGTGGCCAATTACTGTGTTATTTTTTTTCTTTTTACATAATAAATAGGTTATATTGAATATATTTTTTTGTTTTATATTCAGCAATATAATTTAAGTGAGGATTAAGATTTGTCAATGACATTGGTCTAGCATACACTGAAACAGTTTTTCTTAATTTCGAGGGGAACTTATTGATAGCCTGAAAACGCTACTTTTTTTCAGATCAAAGCAGTGTGTTTCAAACGGGATATTTTATTGGAAATAGGAATAAACGGTTCTGAAAATCGAGAAAAAAATAATTTCTTCGAGTGGAAAAGTAATCCCTTTTACAATAAATTGTATTTGAATATTTGAGATGTAATGGCTTGACTAAATCGATATCTAATTATCTTCTATGTAAATAAAATTGGTACGCAGTGATTTCAAAATAACTGTCGTTTTAATTTTTCATATACATACGTACATACGTATATCCCGGTCGGGCAAGATTATAGTGTGCGTTTTGCTAGCAATGTCTCAGTATATATTGCTGTGTGACGATGAGAAAATTCACTTCTCGGGTTGAGAAGACCGGAATAAGGTGTAGGGATATCTTCATGCTAACCACACATATTACTCACGCAACTTTTCTTGAACGATGACCTTGCTTCCCCCTCTCTGGCACAATAAATAGATGAAGGGAAAAGCTCGCAGCGAGCACTGATGACAACATTCTAAACACATCTTCACTGGCGCGAAGTAGAAACAATTTTCTTTTGAAGACTAGCACTTCTATCGGTTATTTTCTCCAAAAATCTAAAGAAATGACCGAAGCAGGTATGAATCTATCACCTCGAACTCCTGATAAAGCTACAACGCAAATTATTGAGAACGTAACGAAGGCGTGACTGATTCTCCAGAGATTGTCATTGCTTCATAAAATCTAGTGGCTGTTTACGTAACTAATACCCCACTCTACCTGCATTTCTTCAATCCATCGTGTAAGAAAAGTTGCGCGAGGAATACCCATGACCGCGGGGCCAGGACGCTGCTAATAGGCCCTGGCCCGTGCGCGGGCAGCCGCGCCGAGTGCACACGGATATAAAGTTACGTAAAGCTACGGCGAAATGTGCCGTTTTTTTCTTTTTCCCTTTTTTCAACAGAAGAAGTCGGTATTTGGCGCACTGATACTACCAAACAAGATTTTTCTTGCTCCTAGATCGTAGTAAATTAATTTCTCAAATATGTAGTGTAGTCAGAGTTCGCGTTTTGTGGTTCCTTACAACTGAACAAGTTGGCCTTTCAAAACGCTGTCTCTGTCCGTCTGTAAAAAAAAAAACAAAACTAGCGACTAGACTATTCGTAGGATTTTTACAAAATGAATATTCTTCGATCGATCTGGCCCGATTTAAAGCTTTGTTCTAGGTTCTTTGTTCTAGGATTAATCTTCCCGGTACACACGAGGGCCTATTGAGTTTCATCTGGGCTGCGGGGATCAGCGTTAAGGCTTCAAAGAATATCGAGAAGACGATAATTTTTATATCAGAAATCAGGATAAGCCAAGTGAACCGGAGATACGTGCGTGTTTGCCGACAATCTCGTTTTTGTTTTCAAATTGATTTTAAAAATATGTATTACGACAAATTGAAAGAAAAATATTTCGAAATAAGTCTTGAAGTCAATTTATGAATATATTACGGTACCAACTTTTAGGAAAGCCAAAGGTAGAAATCGTGCTCTATATCACAAAATCATTGCAAAATTTAAGTGGTTAGTTCCCAACGCTGTCAAAACATCTAAACAGAATAAAGAGGACTTTAAACCGAATAAAAAAAGAAAGTTGAAACATCCCAAGAAAGCTTAAAGCGTCGGTAACGTCACATTCAGCTAGTAGTTTATTTAATACAATGTTAAAAAAATGTTTTTTAAGAAATTTACAACCATTTTTCCCGTGCGTATTGCGGAGAGCACCTTCTTGTGTGATCGCTGTGAATGCGTAGTTATAATTTCTTGAATTGTCTGAACATCCTAACTTCTATGGATGAAAACTATATAGATAGATAGGAAACAAGAGCGCATATGTCATTTATTATATTTTTTATTGATATCAGAAACAATTTCATTATTTTTTGTATAATCAATGTGATCTTGATTATACAGGTAAGGCGCCGGTTCGTATATGGGTATTTGACCCCCAATCAACCTCTTGATGATCATTGATTCCCGAGGGGGTCATTACCGACCCCAGGGGGAACCTTTAGCTTATATTTTATCTATTCCGTTCCCATAATTCGGTGCAGATAACGCCCGCGAATAAGCGGTAGAAACAAACGGAAGCAACTCGACTTATGACATTCCACTTTGTTCATCACAAATTTCACATGGATCGATCTTGATTTTAATCCCGGTCCCGACAGGCAATGTCACATAGACCAGGGTTACCTTCACGATTCAGAAGATATTCTCCAAAATTAATATTTACTTGATTGATATGAACGTACTCGAGGTTCTTCGAGTTGGAAACGGTAATTTTGATTTTTGAGGATACTTTACATTCAACATTACACGTTATTTTCTGTTTTCTCAAAAACGGCTCCAATATTTTTAAAAAACTCTGTTCCCGGAAAGCATTGATAAGCTTAATAAATGGAGATTTTCGTTAAAACCTCTGAATTTTTGAAAATTTCATTATTTTAAACTTTTTCGGAGACTTCCAACAACTGATGGTAAAGATCGAGATTTTTTAAAAATAAAATGAGATGTTTAAATGCATACCTTGAAATATGGTCATTATTGTTTTATCAATACGGTTTATCATTTTTGCTTTTATATTGTTATTCTCAACAATAAGTATGTGCACATGATTTATCTAAATCAAATATTTATTATCTGGGGTTCATTATTATTACATTACACACATATTTCATTTTGCCTGACGCGCAAAATATCCTAGCGCCAGCCCTGTGGAGGAGGAATGTAAAATAACAAAAGGGCAGGGGTAAAATTTCAAAATTTCATATTAGTAAATCTTGTTCAATATTACATCACTGCTTCTATTTTTGGTAGTTATTTAAGTTTAGATGAATATTTTTCGGAGGTTTATCATGATTTGACTACTAAGGCGAAAAAACTTTAAATGTTTTGAAAAAAATATTGTGGGGGGGGACGCATTACCCCCGTCCCATCTCGGTAATGACGCCTCTCATTTCACCATCCGCTTAGTTCACCATTGTTCCAGCATCATTAATACAGCAACATCAAAATAATTCAAACACTTACATTTATGGTCATAAGACGTAGACACTGCTATAAAAATAAAGAAAAATACAAGAAGTTTCAATAAAGATGGGATAGCGAAAGACAAGAGGCCTTTAAAATATCCATTGTAAGCACAAATAGTTCTAAAAGATGTATAAAAGGCCTTTGTTTCATTTTTCAAATTCTATATTGGACCATTTTAGATTTTCACACAATATTGACAAGAAAAACCCAAGATTTCAATTGGTATTAAGTTAAAGCAATGTGTATTCATGGAAACCTCATCTAATTTTTATTTTATTATTTTACTAGTAATAGTGTAGCTTAGAAAAACGCCTATATTCGTGTTCTATTGTATGAGAGAGTCAATTGACTGAGTTTTAAATAGGCCCAGGGTCCCATTACGACCTTCAAGTGTGGAACGAGCAAATGTTCTGTTGATCTTCAGCCTCTGTAGCTTGATGAGCCCAACATTGTTTACGTATGGGTTTTGTTGAAGATGTCCAAACTTTCATAAGTACTTTAAATCGAGTTCAGAATTGTGTTGGTATTTACTGAGTAATTAGTCTCCCTTTCCCTTCACAAAAATAATTAATATAATATTTAATACAGGTTATCT